TTCAAAGCCAGCCCGGGCAGGAGAGACCATGAGACTCCTATCTCCAATAAACCACCAGAAAACCGGAAGTGGCGCTGTAGCTCAAGTGGTAGAGTGCTCGCCTTGAGCTGAAGAGCTGAGGGACAGCTCCCAGGCCCAGAGTTCAAGTCCCATGACCAACAACAACAACAAAAAGATTCTCAGGCTATAATCTCGATGACACTGGGAACCCAGAGGGGTAAGGAGAGCACAGAAATTGCTTCTGTTCTGAGGACAGGTCGAATCCGGTAACTCCCCTGGTCATATCCTTGCAAAATCCAAGTTAGGACCACCTGGGGAGTGGTCCCCTCCAACCAGCCATCCAAAGACCTAGATCTTCAGGGGAAGCATAAACCAAAACCAGAGCCACATCCACACCCCAGATCCTCAAAGAAACCTCACCTACTGCTGAAGGACAGCGCGTGGAAGACGCTGCTGCCAGGAGCCAGGCATCACCTGTGTAGTTAAAAACACAAACAGAAACACCTCCAAGCTCTGAAGCTGATTCAAAAGTGAGCCTAGCTCCCTGCACTAGGCGGGAATGTACTTGGCTGACAATCTCTCAGAACCCTGCCTAACAATTCCAGTCAGAAGCATGGGAAACGAAGACACGGCACAAGATTAAATATAGAAACACAGACACACAAGAGGCTCACGCCTGTAATCCTAGCTACTCAGGAGACTGAGATCTGAGGATCAGGGTTCAAAGCCTGAGACTTATCTCTAATTAACCATCAGAAAACCAGAAGTGGTACTGTGGTTCAAAGTGGTAGGGCACTAGCCTTGAGCAAAAGAGCTCAGGGACAGAGCCCTGGCCCTGACTTTAAGGCCCATGACCAACCAAATGAAAGAAAATTCAGGGGCTGGGAAGTTGGCTTAGTGGTAGAGTGCTTGCTTCGCATGCATGAGGTCTTGGGTTCAATTCCTCAGCACCACATAAGCAGAAAAAAGCCGGAAATGGTGCTCAAGTGGTAGAGTGCTAGCCTTGAGCTGAGGGACAGCTCCCAGGCCCAGAGTTCAGACCCCACTACCGGACCCAAAAAAAAAAAGAAAATTCTTTTTTTTCTTTCCTGTAAGCCTGTTTATTTTGCTGTTTGATTTGTTTTTATTTTAACTCCATGGATTGTTGTGGAACCCCCTCCCCCGCTATCCAATACAGGCCATTTGACTTAGACCCTTTACCCCAGCCGCTCCCAGGTACTTCCAACTCTCCCTCCCTCCTACCCTTCCCTCTGGTCTTCATGTCTGAATCAACTCCTGCCTGCCAGAACTCCATTTCCATGCCCTTTCTACAGCTCTTTACCACTTAAACCTTCCTCTTTGTTGTGTTCTGCCCCGCCCCCACCGCACACCTCATTACCTCGCTCTCACCCGGCAACCTGACTGCCAGGGCATCGTCTGCTTTTGCTTCATGTCAGTGGTTTTGAATCGGGGTGCTGGCTGTTGCTTCAGTTATGTTTATGCAATTCTACTAGCCTCTCTATCCCAGCAGCAATGCCAACTAGATCTTCTCTACTCACCCGTCCACTTTCTCAATTACCTCATCGGTCAGATTTAACTCCCACCTTTGCCTTCCCTGGACAACAAGTACCCAGTGTTAGTCATTCCTGTCACCTGCCCCCTGCCCCTTGCCACCCCCACTCTGGTGACCATGGTCATGAAGATACAGCCATCATGGAGACCAGTGGTCTCTGGGACACACACACACACACACACACACACACACACACACACACACACACACACACACACACACACGAGGTTGTGGTTTGTCATCTGCAATCTCTCCCGCAGCCAACCTTCCTCACCCTGAGTGGAGATGAATTCCAGAGTCTTGGGCATTGAAACAGCTTGACAACCCAACTCCATCCCTGCTCCAATCTAATATGAAAATACACCACAAGCCCGTTATTACCCAGTCTTGAGGAATCTGCAAGAAATCACCAACTCGATTTTAAAGGACACAAGAAATTGAAATTCCTCACCCAACTTGTTACCCAGATGTGTAAATACCACTGGTGGTGGGAAATCAACAAATAATTACAAAGCAATGGGATTGGTCTAAAACTTCCCAGGTGAACCTGAGGGCAGCTTTCAAAGAACAATGCACTGGATCCTGGAAGGCAAGTGGGACTTTCCAGACAGGGTTATTTGTGCCCAGCTGAGGGAGAACACATGCGAGTGCTCACAGACCTTGTGTGTGGCTCTGTCCTGTCCTACCCTCTCTCTCTTCCTTGGAGATTATGTTAAGGACAGGTAGTGGCAGTCAACCAAGTGAGAGGCCCTAAGGGCAAATCCCAGGATTTCCCAAAACAAAACCCCTATAACCATACAGAAAACAGAATGACACTCATCTACTCACCAACAAACCCAAAAAGTCACATTCTGTCCTGTCTTCTCTCTTTTGCTGGTACTGGGGGTAGGGGTGTGTTTCTTTTGTCAGTCTTGGGGCTTGAACTCTGGGCCTGGGTGCTGTCACTCAGCTCTTCAACTCAAGATGAAGCTCTACCACTTCAGCCACAGCACCACTTCAGGATTTCTGGTGGTTTATTGGAGGTAAGAGTCTCATGGAGCCAGGCGCTGGTGGCTCACACCTGTAATCCTAACTACTCAGGAGGCTGAGATCTGAGGATCTCGGTTCAAAGCCAGCCCTGGGAAAGAAAGTCATGAGACTCCTATTTCCAATAAACCACTAGAAAACCGGAAGTGGTGCTGTAGCTCAAGTGGTAGAGCGCTCGCCTTGAGCTGAAGAGTGCGGGGATAGCGCCCAAGCCCAGAGTTCAAGCCCCATAGCCGACCAAAAAAAAAAAGTGTCTCATGGACTTTCCTGCCCAGGCTGGCTTTGAGCTGTGATCCTCAGATATCAGCCTCCTGAGTAGCTAGGATAACAGGAGTGTGCCACCTGAGTAGCTAGGATAACAGGAGTGTGCCACCTGAGTAGCTAGGATAACAGGAGTGTGCCACTGGCGCCTGGCTGGTACTGGGGTTTGAACTTAGGGCCTCACCCCTGTTAAGCTAGCATTCTACCCCTTGAGCCATGCCTTCAGCCAGCTTTTAGCTGTTTCAGAGATGGAGTTTTGATGACTTTTCTGCCTGGTTGTCCTCTGGATCTCACCTTCTAACTACTAGGATTATATAGACATGAGCCACTGATGCCAACTCTGCCTCTATTTTTGTGCCAGTTCTGCTACAGTCTTATTTGTTTATTGTGTGGATCCTAGACCTTGAATTCAGGGCCTGGGTTCTGTCCTTGAGATTTCTGCTCAAGGCTGGTGCTCTTACCACTTGAGCCACAGCTCTACTTCCAGCTTCTTTGGTGGATGGTGGTTAAGTGGAGATTGAGAGTCTCACAGCCGTTCCTGCTCCAACTGGCTTTGAACCAAGATTCTTAGATCTTAGCCTCCAGAGCAGCTAGGATTATAGGTGCAAGCCGGACATCTTTAAGACTTGGCTTCTTCAGGAGGAAGCTCAAGGCAACATTTTGTGCGTGTGTGTGAGCGCGTGCGGGCACCAGTAGTGGGTCTTGAACTCAGGGCCTCAGGCTCCCCCCCCCCAGGCTGGTGCACTGACACTTGAGCCACACCTCCACTTTGGGTTTTTGGGTAGTTCTCTTGAGCTTGTCTCGGCCTCCTGAGTAGCCACGCTAGCAGGTAAGGGCTACCAGCGCCCGCCTTCCACCGCCAACTAGTAAACTCTGCTACCTCTGACCGAACGGAAGCCCAGCGAAGGAAAAGCTGGTGCCGCCGGCCATTTCCTGCGCTCCAGACCTCGGCCTCGCCTGTCCACCGCGGCGGGGCCGGGCCGCGG